TATATTTAGTAGAAGTTTAAAATTGTAGATTCTATATTTAATTATATTTGGTTCAAGTTTAAAATAGTAGCAAGATATTAGAATAGAAGCTGTTGGAAAGATAAAAAGAATAGAAAAATGTTAAATGTATTATTTTCAATTTATTCCAAAAAGTAAAGAAAGAAAGAATTTGATGTTCAGTTTCAATTCCTTCCAATCTACGCAGACAATTTTTATTTCGCATAAAGATCCGCAGGCTATTAATAATAGAAAAGTAGAATTTACAATGGTTTCTTTTCTTTGGCTAGACATAAGAATTATAATCGAACTCGGTAAATTTTAATACCCATTCACAAAACCGCGATTATCCAATTCTAGCAGTGATCCTTCAAATGATCCTCAAAAGGAGTTAATTGACAGATTCATGCGGATCGATCGCAGGTTAATTTCGACATAAACGTTTGTTTCTGCTTCGATCGCCATTTTCATTTCCGAAATAGGTAACTTTCATAGGACGATACGAGAATGAAGAGGAAAGTTCGATTGTAGCTCGCCATGAACCTAGGATTGGGTCCCCAGCGAGCACCAGCGGAAACGAAGTCACGTGTTGGTGACGACTTCTGTTCTCGAGGATTTCGCTGGAGAATTTTCGCGTGATCGTGGCCATACCGTTGCGAGCATACAGCGGTATATTTTGCGGGAACGTTACGGTTTCCACAGTCTGGAAGTAAATTCGAAATTTCACAAACGTGGGGTAATCGACTGCGCGAAACGAGTTATCGAATACGCTGGCGGGACACGATCCTGTCCGTAAAAGTTGTTTATCGTCCGATCTTAAATTTTTAATCGCCTCCTTAAATATCGTGGAACGTTCCGAAGAAATAGTATATTGTGGATTTGTCGGAACATGTGTATAGACTATCGATTGCTTTGTTTCCAACGATATTTTGAAACGATTTAGAAACACGTGATTGTTCGAGGATGTGAAAGAGTCGCTTTTGCAATTGTTGAGACGATTGCAAAATCGTTTTCATCGAACCGAAAACCAGTTCGAATCATTAAAACATATCGAGGAATAACAATGTGTTAAAGGTTCCATGTATGTTACAAAGCGACTTGTGTTACGGTCATTTGTTAACATTTTCAATGGTTTCGTTACAAATGGTATTGTGCCATTTATTTTACGCAGTGATAGCACGTTTTGAAACGCATATGTTAAATTGTGTAAAGTTTTTTTTTATTGGCTTTCAACGAATTTGAATAGCCAGCGTTCCATATACAGATATCCATATTTATGTGAAAACAATATTTTGAAAGATAAGTAGATATAAGTGGCATGGTTTTCATTTATGTATCTCATGTATTTCATTTATACCGCTACAGAAAAGTGTAGATCATTTTTTGAGACGTCATTGTAAACAGTTGCAATTTCACGTTGACATAAATCTAGAAAAATTGCTGAAACTTCGCGATGTCAAAACTTGTATAATTTCGAAAGAGGAAATATATCTTTAACTCCTAGCTTTGTTTTATGGCAAAAAAGGATCTGCAAGAAAAACTAAACTCTCTCTCTCTCTCTCTCTCTCTCTCTCTCTCTCTCTCTCTTCAAAATGAATGTAAATTCATTGTTATATAATTCCTTTCTACGAAGGTATAACTGAATTGCGAATCCTTTACATAAAAAATGTCCGAAATAAAAAATGTCCAACTTAATTGTAAGAAACGTAAGCCCGATAAAAATGACTTTTATTTTTAAGTTGTTTTAATAAATTCTCGAGCTCTTCCAATGTCTTCACAAATTTTGCGTTCGACCCAGCCATTTCGATGAAAAAAAAGAACGCACGAAATCCAGTCCGATTGCAACCTGTCGATATTTTTCGAAAATCGGAGATACATAAAGCGTTTCGGGTTCCATCCGACGGTTCTTTGAGACCGAGTTTGCCGGGAAATCCGCGGGGAAAATTGCTCGGGGATTTTCCATTCATTAGCGTTTCAGTTTCTCGCGACCGGTCCCTCGGCCAATTTAAAGCCCGAATTTGACAAAGCTCAGATGGATATTCGGCTCCGGCTAATACCGCTTTGAATCCTTTCAGGACAATGTACCGCGCCGCTGGGTATGGAGAATGGCGAAATCCCCGATGAAGACATATCGGCCAGTTCTATGTACGATCCCAGTCTTGGTCCGAAACATGCCAGGTAAGTGAACAATGATATCGCGGAATGCTCGGGCTGCAGCCGAGGAAGTCGGCCATTTCGGTTCAACACAGGCGTTTCCGGTTTTCCGCAACGTACACGCTCAATCTCTGGACGATTCCGCTTGATTGCGCAGTCTTAACCGGATTGATACAAATGCAACGGTCTTGTTTAAAACTGGAACTCTTTATCGGCGCGCGGGCGGGGAGCAGAGAGGGGCCGGACAATGGGAACTCGTTAGCAGGAAGTGCCGTTTCCAGTCGAAAATTAGAGTTGGGTATAATTTTTGAAGCCGGGCCCGTTACTTGCCGCCTATCCGAGTCTCCGGAATAAATGAATTGTAATCTCCCATAGTTTTTAAATGTTTTATTACGCTCAGTGCCTTTTACGTTGCTCGCGAACGTTCTGCCTAAAGTTCTCTACCGTGACCTATTTTCATCGTTTGTAATAAATTTCTGCAACTCGTACAGAAATACTTAATTTTTTTGTCCGAATCGAAAGAATTACGCAAATGTTCGCTTATCCGAAGAAATATTTTCAATTCCGTGTTTTATGTAGTCTAAAATTTTCGCTTTTGTGCCGATTTGGTGAAGCAGGAGCAACAAATAAAGCCAAGTATTCGTGTAAAACGATAATTGCAAGTTGCAAAACGCGTGCAGGAAAATAACTAAAGTAACGGTACCGTGTAACTCGTTCATTTTGACTTGTATAATTAAAAACGAGCAACGTTGCCAGCGAAGCCGGTAGTTAGGCTAGAACGCCTTTAGCTGTTATGTCAGCAGCGCTGGCAGTTGTAATAGAACGCTCCTATTTGTTGTGCCAGCAATGCCGGTAATTGGAGCGCAAAGGGTTAACATCTACTTGAGTCTAAAATCTTACAGTGGAGGGCAGAACCGTTTGGATATAATTTTCAAGCGCCCTACAATCTCCGCAACGAAAACACAGTTTTTACGGAAGTATCCGTTTTATTAATGAGTAATCTCATCCCGCAGATTTGATGATTTAGCCGTTTTAAACGAGAAGAATTTTCCTGAAATTAAAGACCGTCTATATCAACTGAGAAATCGGGACGATATCGAAAATCAACCGAAGAATTCAAAGTCGACCTAATAAGCAATCGTCTGGCGAGGACATTTTTTAAATTGATAATGACGATAATAAAAAAATATTATATATATATATATATATGTATATATTTTATATTTTATTATTATATTTTATATTTTATTATTATATTATTATTATATTTTATATATTTTATTATTTTATTATTATATTTTATTTAGATATATATAAAATATTTTTGAGTACAAATGCACATTAACATCTTCGTAATTGGGAAGGATTAGTATCGAAAAACGATTTTTTCTGTATACACCTATTATATTCGGACTAGGTTTACGTCACTCTGCCGCGTTTCCAATACTTTAATTAGGATTATTAATTCTTCGCACTCGAAGAGCCATTTTAACTATTAATACAGCATAGTTTTTCTACGTCATAGTTTTTCCTACGGTATTCCATTTTATATTAAATATTGTGCAGTGCGTTTAACAGCTTTGATTTAACAAATTTTTCAATCTAAACGAATTTGATGATGCGAACGTTGTTTTGAAACGTGATATAATCATTTTTAGCGGTGTCTCAGAGTCACCGCACGGGCGCAAAAGTTGAAGATTGTAGAAACATTTTTATAAGGAATTTTCTTTTGAACGAATTTGTTCGTACAAATTTTATACAAATTTTTATATTATATTATATTTGTATATTACAATATATATATATTACAATATTTATATAATATTATTACTATTACTATATTATACAACTATACAAGTATTCTGATTTTTGGCGATTTTTATTGTAATATTTGTACGAATTTGTAAAATATAATATTATATAAATATTATATTTTATTATTAAATAAAATTTAAATATTACAATAAAAATCGCCAAAAATCAGAATACTTGTATAGTTGTATAATATAGTAATATAGTATAGTATATAGTATATATATAGTAGAATATAGTATACAGAATATAGAATATAGAATATAGTATATAGTAATATAGTATACTTGTATAATCTAATATAAAACAGTTGCTTGTTGTGCTTCGTCGAAAGCATCGCATGCAAATGAACGATCTAAACGACACAAGCAAGATAATTTCGTAATTGAGAGACTATTTCGCGAAAGCGGTAATATCGAGAACTATTTAGCTCTAATCCTCGGAGCAACGCAAGAAACGAGCGAGGTAAAAAAGAAAAAGCGAGTGCTTCCATTTTTATAAACCGTGCTGGTAATAAACTATCGGCTGGTTGGGCGCTTCAACTTGGCGAGATTTATTTCCTGCGCACTGTGTAACAGAGCGCATCGCTGACTTTGCGACCGCACAGGTGAGCGCGATGGTTGCTCGTTCGAAAATAAATCTGCGCGTTAGCAGGGGGGCTAAGCTCGATAATTCGACGTTCGCGGCGTCCGGTAAGCTCTCTAATCGCGTCGGAATTCTTTCTATTTCGCAATCTGGGTCGCGTGACGCGAACGAACGTTTCGCCGGCAATCCGCCGGCCGTGTATTAGCGAGTCCACTAGGCGGCTTTCAGTTTATTTCTTATTACAACGCCCGAGATTAAAATCTCCAGGCTGCCCGGGGCTGACTTTCTCTCGTTCTCTCTCTCTGTCTCTCTCTCTCCCCTTCTGTCTTTGTTTTCTCTCGCAGCCCCTGCTGTGCCTCGACCGGCATTAAAGTTTTAAAATGCAAACGGCCTGAAAAGCACGCTTGTAAAATTCTGTTATCGAGTGCCGGGGCGAATATCAGATATTGGGGAACGTGGGTCGGCGAGAACGGGGAGCTTGTAAGCTGGTAATACGAAACTAATCGCGACCCCCGAGAGAGAGGCGAGAACCGCGAGAATTAAGACGGCGGCTTGGTGGCGCGCCTCCTCGCGATGTTCCGCGCGAACAACCCTTGTTTTAAGACTTCTTCACGGTTAGATCTGTAATTGGGACATCTGGATATCTCTGATAACAATCCCGGCACGATTCAACCGTTACGCGGTTATCGTCTAAGTTATCGTTGCGCGGCCGAAGTTCATGGAAATTTTAAATATCGAGTCTTCGCTAGATCCAATCGGATTGTTATGTTCAACTTTAACCTACTTCTCTTTGTGACCAATGTCAACTTATGTACCGTTAGATTCCTAGCGGTTCTTTAAACCATTTGCTGTTTGATATAGTTTACAATCGCAACTACTGCTATAAGGAACGTATTAACTATATTTTTGGACTTATTGTCTTACTGAAATTTTCGTCAAGAGTTATAAACGTCTCGTTAAAATTCCTTTCCGATAGACAGTTCAAATTGTCGATTATGTCGGTTTTTAAATAACTGCTAATGAGGAGTTTCGCGTGTATATTAGTACGCGCGCGCTAATTTTATCTATTTATGGAGAAAATATCTATCTATTTATCTATTATGGTATTTTTAACCGTGGGGTCAAAATAGACCCGACTTGAATGAAATTCAAGTGTATGTATTTTCTAGCACGAGCATCATTATAGATGATAGACCGATGTACAAGAGAAAGCTATTATTAACTCCTTGCCCTTCTAGTAATAACCCGTTAAGTTTGATCGTTATTTTTCTTTTATCTCAGAATAAAAACCTGTCATCCTGTCGTCAATGTTTGAACATTTCAATAAACGTGGGCACACAATAAGTGTAAATTTTCCACATCGTCTAAGAAATATATTGTTAGAAAAAGAGAAAAATATTGTGGTGAACAAAAATATTTGTTTAGGCCATATTTTTTAAATGACACTATATATTGGGTTGGCAACTAAGTAATTACCGATTTCAGTTATAGATGTCTCTCACTCCCATTTTTATGATGTCCGTAAATGTTATATTATAAAATTATTATTATTATTATTAGATGTCTCTCACTCCCATTTTTATGATATCCGTAAATGTTATATTATAAAATTATTATTATTATTATTAGATGTCTCTCACTCCCATTTTTGTGATATCCGTAAATGTTATATTATAAAATTATTATTATTATTATTAGATGTCTCTCACTCCCATTTTTATGATATCCGTAAATGTTATATTATAAAATTATTATTATTATTATTAGAAGTCTCTCACTCCCATTTTTATGATATCCGTAAATGTTATATTATAAAATTATTATTATTATTATTAGAAGTCTCTCACTCCCATTTTTATGATATCCGTAAATGTTATATTATAAAATTATTATTATTATTATTAGAAGTCTCTCACTCCCATTTTTATGATATCCGTAAATGTTATATTATAAAATTATTATTATTATTATTAGAAGTCTCTCACTCCCATTTTTATGATATCCGTAAATGTTATATTATAAAATTATTATTATTATTATTAGAAGTCTCTCACTCCCATTTTTATGATATCCGTAAATGTTATATTATAAAATTATTATTATTATTATTAGAAGTCTCTCACTCCCATTTTTATGATATCCGTAAATGTTATATTATAAAATTATTATTATTATTATTAGAAGTCTCTCACTCCCATTTTTATGATATCCGTAAATGTTATATTATAACTCCCTAATTTGCTCTTAGATCGCGCACAAAAATGGACAGTTTGGGAAGAAGAGATACGATTGTTCGAACCTTGCGACTCGTTTTTATAGTGACCGATTGTCAGCAACTATAAAAACGAGACGCGAGGCGCGAATAATCGCATCTCCTCTTCCCAAATTGTCCATTTTTCTGTGCAATTTCAGCGCGAATTAGGGAGAAATCTACTATTATCCGCTTCGCACTCGTTGACGCGTTATATGTATCTCGCGACGTAGTGTCGCTTGTGCGACATCACGGGCGATGCAATACCGTTCGTGCGGTGCCGCAGAGACGAGTAAACACGCGTTTTTGTTTTTGCTCTCGAATTAAAGCCTGTTTATTCGCGTGTGGCACCGCGCGAACGGTATTGCGTCGCGAG